CAGGTCGGCCTCTGCGGATGGCGAGATGGTGACCCACGTGGGGTGGAGGTATATAGGCGGCCGTGCTCTCCACAGGTGGCGATGGATACCGCCCCTCCCGCTGCGACCGCCGCGGAGAGGTGCCCCCCTGGATGGAGCATGGTGCTGTAGTCTCGCAGGCCGCCCCTGTCCTCCGAGGTCGCGCGGCGGATGGGGTTTCGCCCGCCCATGACGTCGTTCACCTCGCGCAGCCAGTCCTCGGGCATGGCCGGGGGGGGAGCCCTCATGTTGTCTGCTCCTTCACTGCCCTCGGCCCCCCCGGGCAGTGGCCAGGCTCTTGTGTGCAGCCTGGTCCCGGAAGAGCCTATCGAGGCTGGGGACATCCGTAGCGTGGCGCGGCTAGGAATCCAAGGCTCTGGGCGCGTGGGCCTGGGGCGGGGGGAACAGACCTGTCTTCCTTGCCGGTCGAAGGGTATGACTTCCAGTATCTGAGGCTGCACGGCTCGTCTGGGGGCCTGCCGGACTGTTTCGTCCATGATTGCCTCAATGTGCTCCGTTTGGGCCCTGGGGATCCCTGCGCCCCCCCTGATCTGTTCTCTTGTTGAGGGAGTGGCCGGGAAGATCCTGGCAATCTGCGACCCCGCCGCGAGGCAGCTGGTCCCGCAAAAGCGGCGGACACGTTGGCAGCGATGCTAAGTCGGACTCTAACCTGCGCCATATGCATGTACTCACCTGTGTCGGGGAACCAGGCGTGCACCGAGGTGGCCTGCTCCACTGCTCCAGCGCCTACGGTGGCTTCGACAGCCTCGATTAGCTCTTGCCGTCCTGATTGCCCTAGGTCCGATACGTTCCACCGAAGGTGGAAGCCATCCTCCGGGTCGGTTAGCCTGACGAATGAGGGGCCTCCATCCCAGCTTCCCTCTAGGAGAATTCTTCGGGGGCGGCGGGCAGGGGAGTTGCGCGCGGACCCGAAGACTTCGGGGAGCTCTGCCTTGAGGTATCGAAGTGTAGGGGATTCTCTCTGGAGTCTTTATAAGTAAAGCTCCTCCCCCGTTGAGACCTACTCGGCACCCGAAGGCTGCCGCCGCGTCTGCTGCGGTTGCCAGGGCAAGGCGCGTGGCGGCGTTGGGGATGGGGATGTGAACGGAATCGGACGCCTCGCTGGACCTCCAGGTACTTCCATTGATGTCGGATGCCAGCGCCGCCTGCGCCGCGACCTGAAGTTCTTCAAGGGGCGAGTCCGCGGGGACCTGCATGTGTGTCCCTCCAGCAGGACGACGCCGCACTACGTGGTGGCAAAGTGGTTCTAGCCCCGCCTTTGTGAGGGTCCCGTCCCTTGGTAGGGGTATCATGGTAGTGGCCCACCCCACGTCCCCTGTAGACCGGTCGCCCCCCTCTAACGTCCGCTGCCATCTAGTACGCTGGGCAACTATGGCGTCGTTCCGCTGCTCTGGTGCGAGTATATGGAGGGCGTCACTGGTGTCTGGGTCCCTGCCACCCCAGTGTGCCACTGCGGATGGGGGGATCCGGGTTCTTTGGGGGGTGGTCTGTTATGTGGAACTGTGCCGCCACGAGCTGCACTGGGGGGGGGGTTGTGCTTCCTGTTATGACCGGATTCCCTATGGGGACCAGGTGTGTGATCATGTTCGTGGCACGGTACCCCCATTGCGCGTTAGCTATAGCTATCAGTTCGGTTGGGTCGGGGCCTCCTGGCGTCGGGACTCGTTGCCCCGTTAGAGCGAGGATCCTACGTGGGCAATCACCCGCGCCTGCCGCCGACAGCGCAGCCTGTATCTGGGACGCGCTGGCATCCGCTATGAGGATGGTGGGGGCGGTGCCCTGTCCTTCCTCAAGAGTGGCTCTGTTGCAGACCAGTTCCTTGATCTGCCCATAAGCACTGGGGCCTGCCATGGCTATGGTGGTGCCTGTACTGTCCGCGTGTCTGTCGCCTAGCAGCGGCCCTCGGGCGATTACCAGCTCAGCCCCTACCTCGTTGGCTGCCGCCATGAGCAGGGGGACCGGGAAGGCCGGCGGGCCTCTCCGTCTGAGTTCTCTGGGCGGATGTCTTGCTAGGTGGGAGGCCCACCTTGATTGGGTGATGATTGGGATTGAGCGCATTCTCTCCTGTCTAGACAGAGAAGTTGGGACATCGCTGTCTCCTGATCCTCCTTCTACCGTGTGCCTGGGGAGAGCACTTTCGTTATCGTGGTCCACCTCCATTTCTTCAGGTCGCGACGGGGGGTGCCTATGGACTGTAACGTTTTCGTGTATTCTTTGCATGTCGCGAACCGTTACGTAAGTGTTCGGTCTGCGTATGGTGACAAGGTCGGCTCTTAGGCAGTCCAGCTCCGTGGCTAGGGCGAGAGTCGCGGCTGCTAACTCACTATATACGATGGGGGGCCTTTATGGGGGCCAGGAGCCCGCCCCTGAGCTGCAGCATTGCCTGCGCTTCGTTGGGGGGCAGAGGCCCAGGAAGGAGTGCAGCAACACTGCCTCTGTCGATGGCTCTGCAGTATGGGCATCGAATCGGCATGGAGTTTCTTCCTTCTCGGAACACTCCAGGCTGGCTAAGCCTCCATTGGTCAAGGCAGTGTTTGTGGAACCGGTGCCCGCAGAAAACTAAGGTTTCTGCGGTCCCGTTCGGTTCCCCGGCGCAGATGGTGCATGATTGCTCACCTTACCCGGCGCAGATGGTGCATGATTGGCTCACCGGCTCTGAAGACTCTTTCAGCGTCTCCAGGCGGGTCGAACGCATTGGCGATGGCTGTGCCTAGGCTTTCTATGAGGAGCCGCGTTGTCGTGGCCGCCTCTTCTTCAGTTAGACATGCCTTGAGTCCTGTGGTGCGGACCAGGAGGCGTATCTGTCTGTTCCCGAACGGGAAGTACGCGCCCAGGGAATACGCTGGTGGGGACACACGAAACGTCAAGAATGAAGCTCTCACGTCAGCGCGGCGCACATGCGTCCTCAACTTCGCAACAGCTTCAAGGGTGGACGGCGGGTCCTCGATAGTTCTGTGAAAGAGCCAAATAGAAAGTTGGGGGGTGAGATCGCAGCGGAACGGAGACCCCCAACAGGGAAATCATTTCGTTTTGTTCGTGTCGTGCGTGCGGGCTAGGCGAAGCTGCGTGGGCGCGCGAGAGGAATGAACCCGCCGTTGCTCGGGCGAAGTCAAGACAAATGGTGTTCCCCCGTCCGTCCGTCCGTCCGTCCGTCCGTCCGGCGGTGGCCCTAGCGGTGTCCCGCGGTGACCCGTGGTGTCCGCCGATGCTAGGGCGAAGTCAAGACAAATGATTCGCTCCCGTCCGTCCGTCCGGCGGTGGCTCGCGGTGTCCCGCGGTGTCCCGCGGTGTCCCGTGGTCTCCCGTGGTGTCCGCCGTTGCTAGGGCGAAATCAAGGCAAATGATTCTCCCCCGTCCGTCCGTCTGTCCGGCGAAGGCTCGCGGTGTCTCGTGAGTTCCCGTGGTGTCCCGAGGTATCCCGTGGTGTCCCGTTAAGAGAGATTGATAGTGAGATCGAGAGTGAGATCGATAGTGAGATCGATGTGATGTCCCGAGGTGTCCCGCGGTGTCCCCAAAAATGAAATCGATAATGAGATCGATAATGAGATCGACAAGTGTCCCGTGGTGTCCTATGGTGTCCCGTTGAGTGAGATCGATAGTGAGATCGATAATGAGATCGATAGTGAGACCGATGTGGTGTCCCGAGGTGTCCTATGGTGTCCCGTTGAGTGAGATCGATAATGAGATCGATAGTGAGACCGATAGTGAGATCGAGAGGTGTCCCGCGGTGTCCCGTGGTGGACCGTGTTGTCCCGTTTAATGAGATCGACAAAGAAATCGATAGTGAGATCTACAAGTGTCCCGTGGTGTCCCGTGGTGTCCCCTTGAGTGAGATGGATAGTGAGATCGATTGAGTCAGATGTTGGTTCTCCCCCTACCCCCCCCAACAACCTCCTTATCACCCGAAGGGTGGTCGTATAAGTATACATATGTAACAGTTCAGCGTGTGGGGGACGGTTCCTTGTCAAAATTGGGCGTTCACCTGAAACCCGAAACTTGGACATGCGGTGCAGCTGCACGTATGGAGGCGGTTCCCCTTCGAAATGGAGCTCTCGCATGAGCTGCCCTCGACGCTCACGACCAAAGTGCAAACTGATGCCAGAGTTACCCAGATGCGGGCGGTTTTACCTCATAAAGGGGGGTCCCTCTGGACACATCATCTTCATCATCATCACCACCACTACCATCATCGTCATCATCATCCTCATCATCACCAGCATCATCATTTTCATCACGATCATCAACGTTATCGTCGTCATGTCGTCGTCACCATCGTCGTCATCATCATCGACATCATCATCACCATCATCGCCACCACATGCATCACTATCATCAACAAAGTCATCGCACGTAATCAACATCATCATCACCACCATCACCACCACCATCATCATCATCATCATCATCATCATCGTCACCGTCATCATCGCCATAAGCATCAGGAGCATCACCACCATCACACTTATGATCGTCCACCATCATATCGAAACACTGCTCCTCATGGTCATCATCACCATTTCATCAGCATCATCATCGGCATCATCGTCATCATCGTCATCATCTGCAGCATCATTATCATCATCATCATCATCATCATCATCATCATCATCATCATCATCATCATCGTCGTCATCAGCATCGTCGTCATCATCATCACCAACAGCATCCGCATCAATATCAGCATCACCATCATCATCACCATCCTCATCCTCATCCTCCTCCTCCTCCTCACCATCAGCAGCAGCAGCAACAGCAACAGGATCCTCCTGCATCTTCCCACCCGTCCAACTCCCACCTTCTCCTCCTCATTCCCCATCCCTCCTCCTCCTCCTCCTCCTCCTCCTCCTGCTCCTGCTCCTTCTCCTCCTCGTCCTCCCCACCATCATCATCCCCTTCCCCTTCCCACGCCTCCGCCATCCCCCCTCCTCCCTCACCCCGCTCTCCCCCGCGCTGGACGCGGCCTCGAACACGTTGAGGTGCAAGTGCTGCCGCGGCAACGTCGCGTCCATCACGAACACGGGGATACGCTCACGGGCCCCGTCGGCCACGGCCCGAGCCTGCGCATCTGCGGCATCCTGGCCCGACCCCCGCGGCGCCGCTCCCCGGGGAAGGGGAGGGTTCCTCCTCCGCCTCCTCCTCTTCCTCCTCCTACCTCTCTTGGTTTTTCGCCTCCTCCTCCTCCTCCTCCTACATCTCCTTCCCTTCTAAATGACTCCCCCTGTCGGACCCCCAAGACATGTCCGTAAGGCGGACCCGGCGGACCGCCTGAGACTTCCTCACCACTTACGATCCTGAGGCTCGACATTTGCTATATATATATATATATATATATATATATAATATATATATACATATATATATTATATATAAGTCTGTAGATTTAGAAATATCATATATTTACATACATACATACATACATACATACATACATACGTAAATACATACATACATACATACATACATATACGTAAATATTTTCAAAGATGGAAGGCGGGCCGTTTTCAACATGTGGCCCTCGCTTGAGCGCAGCGCACATTCTCAAAGTTCGCAACAGCTTCACGGATTGAGGGCGGGCCGTTTTCAAAATGAAAATCTCGCCGTACCGCGCGCCGCACACACTCATCTACAAAATGTGCTACAACTGCAAGGATGGAGGCCGGTTCCGTTTCATAATGTTACTCACTCTCACCTTAGCGCCGCGCAGACTCGCTTCAAATGGTTACAGCAACTTCAAACAAACGTATGGTTCAAGTCCCAGTAACGATGTTCTGGTACGAATGTATGGATGTCAGGGTGCAACAGTCACGTTGAGTCGGGGTCTTGCAGTACCAGGAATGGTGTTCTGTCACGGTTTAGGATTGTCGGGCCGCAACAGGTCACGTGGATTGGCGGCGAGATCCCAAGAATGGTGATCCACCACCATTATCACAATCGTCATCCCAGTCATCATCATGATCATTATCAGTATCCTTATCAGCGTCATCACCATCATCATCATCATCATCATCATCATCATAATCACCATCGTTAACAGCATCGTCGACATCAGCATCTTCGACATGATCAGCAACAACATCATCACCACCATCACCCATCAACAACATCGTTACCATCAACAACATTGTCACCATCAACCTCACCATCAAGATCATCGATATTATATCCACCGCCGCCAAATAAGAATCAACCGCCACCACCATCATGAGCAACATCATCATCACCAGAATGGGGATCATCATCGTCATCATCCAGAAAATATCTCATCATCTCCCCTCCTCCTGTTCACCGTCCCTCGTTCCAATTGTACCCCCCCTTTTCCTTCACTCCTCACCATTCTTCCTCATTCCTCATTTCTCACTCCTCCTTCTCCTCCTCCTCCTCCCTCCTTCCTCCTCCTCTTTGCCCCGTATGGTTTCCAGATTGCCCGGGTAGCGTCACCATCCGCTGTCAGCAAACGTGCAATTTGTTCTGTTGTAGGGTTCCATATTGTTCTTGAGCGCTGATGCTGCTGTGAAGGGCGGCTTCGGAACCCGAGCCCTGCTCAAGCCCAGCTGCCACGAGTCTGCGCACGCGACGGGTATTGTCCCGCTGGCGATGGTTGATGCGCAACGCCATGGACCCGCAAGCGTCCTCATCCATGGCGACCCAGCGCGAAAAGGGCGGAGAAGCGGGAAACGGAGTTGGTGGTGAAAGAAGGAGGACATGATGACGGGGGAGGACCTCCACACCAGCTGCCTCGCCCTCTCGACCCCCCCTTTCAGGCCAGGAGGGCGACCTCACGAAGCAGGTTTCTGGAGACCCAACCCGGAAAAAACAAAGAAAAAACAAATCCCACCACCCATTGTTATGGCGTGGGCGGTTTCGACCGCGTACTCGTCCCACCCAGCCCTTCCCCTTTTGGGGATGTGCCGACCCCTGCACCAATACCCTTTTCCCCCATGGGTCTGGACGGAACGTCACGCGAGCAGCTTAGGCCACCCAAGATTGCTCAAACTGGCCGCAAGATGGCCTCCGAGGGAGCGACATGACGTCCAAGATGGGTTTGGGCACTTCGGGGTGGCGCAAAATTGGATCCACCATGTTCCACGAGCCCAGAAGACCATTTCAAAACGGGTTTGGGTGGCCTTGGGGTCTTGCCGCGACGCCCCCCATAATCCCAAATTCGTCCAAAACCACATGAACATGACAGCTCGGGCGAACCCTGCACCATGCATTATTGTTTGCATCGTGGGGGTGAAAAGTATGCGGCGCACTTCGCGCGGTGGGAGCTGTATCGTCTATGATATGTGGTGTGAGTTCTATGGTCGCGGTGCAAGCTATGTTGTGTTAGTTATGTTGTGTCACCGTGGCAATGTGAATTGGGTGTGGCCATATGGGTGTAACAGATGTGATGTAAGATGTGTCGGAAACTATATGTTGTGCACGGTGCGCAATGCAATACATGTTGCGGCATATATACACTGGAATGGACACGGCGCACCGTAAATTGTATCGTGCAAACAATGCGGTGGAAGTTACGACGGGCAAATCAAAACGCGGGGCGCGCACCGAACCCCCGCGAGGCGACGCGGGCCCGCAGCGTGGCAATAACCCGGCGATAGTAACCCTGAAACACGGGGTGCCCACGAGGCGCATGAAAGGCGCCGTGGGCGGCAACGCGGCGAACGCCCGCAAAACCAGGCCAAACGCGGGGCGCAGAGAAGGCGCCCACGAAGCGCCGTTGGCCCGCAACGCGACGAAAACCCCACAAACTCATCCACATCCTTGAATCGGAATGTCCGCCACCGTGCCTCTGAGCACGGGAGGGGCGCGTTCTCTCGCCCTAATCCTCTAAGCCTCATTCCTCACTCCTGAGGGGAATCTATAGGTCGTAACGAGCAGGATGAGGACCATGTGATTATAGGTTGGAAGGTAGACGAGAAATGGGGCACCATCCAGCAGACTGATCAGATCTTGTTTTTTCGGCGCGATCGTACATTGCCGAGCCAACGGTCAATGCGTGCAAATAGGGCGCCAGCGTCTTGAGCCACACGCCGACGGCGCGCTCGCTATTCTCGCTAACGGTGCGCTGCTATGCTCGCTGCGCTCGCCTGTTTCAGAGTCGAGGCGGGAGGAGACAGGCAGAGATAACCGCAAGATCAAGCAACGCTTTGCGGAGAAACAGGCGCGAGGACTCGCGTCGATGCGAATTAACTCCAGCCGGCCAGCGCCAGGCTGGACCTGCAAAGAAGTGGCGGGCGCGATCGAGCCTAGAGCCAAGATCGGGCCGCAAAATGGCGGCAAGGGCTGGCCCGGCCAAGCGCCGGCGGCAGCCCTGCGGGGCCCGTGCAGCGAGGGCCCAAAGGCGCAGACAGCGCAGCAGAATATAGTACCCAAAGTAGAGCGCAGAAGGAAAGACGAGCTTGTTTCGACGCGTGCCCACGCAAAATGGAAGGAGCACGCCGCCGCCTTGTCCCGAGCCAGGCCTTTACTTCGAGGTCGGATCCCTGCATGGAATGCTCGCGCTTAAAAGGATTGCGCCCCCGCCGTTACTTGTAGTAACAAGTCCCGTTCGATGCTGCCTTTTGCATGTCCATGGTCAGCCGCATCCCGCGCGTCACGCGATTGCGCGCTGCGTGCGACGCGCATCGCCAGCATCTGTCTTATCCAGATAATGTGCCCTAGCAATGTACATTCTGCAGAATTGTTCAAGTCCTTGCTGGACAAAGATTTCAATGATGCCTCAACACCCATGGCGGGGGCGACTCAGATGCAGAGACCGCCCATGTCCAGCGCATGTTTGAATTGCGCGGGCGTAAGCGGGCACGCCTTTAACTCATGCGGGGTGACAAATGGCCAGGTAGCCAATCCTCGAATTCATGGGCCGCTGCAAGCGTCTCCGCAGAGCGGCTCGATCTCCCCTGCAACCGATGAGACTTGCAATGGGCATCTGTCAGGTGCACGACTGATTTGCAATTGCGCGTCAGTCAACGCCGGAGTAGGTTGGCACCTCTGATGCCGCATCCCTTCATCGTCTTCGACGCCCCCAGTCAATCGTCGATCGCCCGAACGGCTGTGCAGATCGACTTCTCCGGTGGGTTTTTATAGCCGGGTAGACTATCTTCTGGAATTGGCTCTGAAATTTCCGCGCAATTGCACTCGGCTGGCGCGCCTGGATGTCAGCGTGCGCCGGATGCCCTGTCGACGAACTTCGCGCATCGGTCAATGGCTTGCTCCTTTCCAATTATGTTGATGTCGCCTACGTGTTTGGCAGTCATTAGCGCCGCGGCCGCTTTGAAGATCCCCGTCTTCAGGCGTGGCTCGCAGGCCGAAGCTGCGCGGAATATTGCGAAGCTTCAGGGGGATGGCGCGCGGGGCGTCCTTCGCCCCTGCGCCTGGCTTTAAACACTGCAAGCTGCGTCTATGTTCGTCGTATTTCTCGAGCCCAGGAATTGTTCTCAACGCCGCTACTGGCCCAGGCGGCGCTGCAAAGCATGCGATGCGCCCCCTCTGCAGCGGCTTCAGCAAGCTCGCGGCAGGTGAGAAGAAACCTTCAATAATATCTTGTCATGTCCATGAACGAAATTCTCCGGTCAGGGTTGCATCCGCCCTGACTGGCCAATGGGCGCTGGCTTGGCCTTCTGGCCGTTCCTGATAAGGCGGCTTCTACGTCCATGAATCGGCGCAGGGCGAGTCTTAGCCGGCCGGACTGCCCTGGCCATTTCATCATTGTCATGCTTGGCAGAATTCGATTTATAGACGCAGCGCGAGGTCATGGCGTTAGATGCGCCCGGAAGAGATGCCATCTGGAAGCGCTTGTTGCCAGACCAAAACATTAGCTCAGTGCAAAGAGCCTTACCTACCTGCGCTGGATTGGCTATTAGTTCATCCTCGGCGAGCATTTCATCTTCCCCACCACCCCCGCGCGTTTAGCAGCTGCGGAGACGTAAACCAAAATTGTGGTAATGTTGTCGTTGCGCAGTATACTATAATACTGCTCCGCGAGTGCGATATTGGCCATGTCTGCTACCAAACATACTTCGATCTATTGGCCGTATTTGTCAATGTCAAGAGTATAGTATCCGTCGTATTGTGG